TGTGTCACGCAAGAAGCCAGGACTTTGTAACCTTCGAGGCTACCATTTTTTCGAAGTTTGTAGTGACATGTTTATCTTTTTAACAACATAGAACTTTTTATGATCTATTTTACGTTTTTATCGACCATGCTTGAAGGAGAATAAGACAGGAGTAAAGAGTTCATGAGTGAGATATTTTGAAGGTTCATACGCGAAGAGCATCTCTTAAGAAAAGAATGTTTACCTTTTAATTCATGATCTCTTCCATGACTTGAAATAATGCTTGACGACACAAAAGCTAATCTGGAGCTAAGAAAATTCGAACGTACTCATTAATCTATGATTACTTCTAGTAATTATTAGTACTTTCATGCCAAATACATTGACACCAAAAGTGCAGTTTTTGTATGAAAAAACAGCTTTTCATCTTCTTACTTTTGTTTTGCAGACCATTTTTCACAGATAGAAGATGACAATGGCCTGTTGAACTTCCCTAAGTTTGAAGCTTACCTGAGAGAGTTGTTACAGGTTGGATAAGATTGTACATTGATAAAATTATCTGTAAATCAGATCCAGCCTACTGAAATGCTGTAAATGCTGTATGTTTGTTAGCTTGCCAGTAAGCTCTTCTATTTGGGCGAGCAAAGAGAGCCATGCAAGAATGCGCAAGCGAGTGGTGAAGCTGCAAGGGGCCTTTCTCTCCCCCGCTTTCACATCTTCTCTCCTGTGTCTACTTTTTATGATATCCTCCAGCTATAGAGCTTGCTTGCAAGCTAGCTTTTTGTTGACTTTTATTTTTCTTTTCAGCTTCCTGCAGCCATTGGAGAGGCTCCCACATTTGGCTTTACTGAGCACATGGCAAATAAATTCTTCAAGCCAGACGGGGTGAGAAGCTTAACTATTACTTACATGACAGTAGTATTTTACTTATTCTGGCAACCAAAATATTTCCTCTTATTGGATATAATTTTTGTATTCCATTGGAAAGTTTAATGAAGTCAGAAATCCAAAACTTGATTCCCCAGTTAGATGCATACAAAATGTAGTTTAAATTAATAATACATTTAATTAGCAGTGATTTTGTTACCTCTGTATCCTGCGTCATAAAAATTCCTGAAAATGCAAAATAATTCTTAGCATGCATCCTGTAGGATGCAAAGATCAATCGACATGAGCTTGTGTCTTTTCTTAGAAATATCCTTTTTGTGTGTTTTCTGTGGTCTTTATTTAAAAAAATTTAATCTTGTTTAATTACAGGTTAACACATTCAGCATGTGAATTATCGGGATTTAGCTGCACAAGTTCACTAACAATAAACAAGAAATAATTTCAATACTAGTGCGGTGAAAATTTGAGTTCATTGTTAGTGACCAAGCACAGGTAAATCCCGATAATTTACGAACAATGAGTGTGTTTACATTTTTATTATTCAAACTGAATGCACTGCACAAAGCTGGCAAAACTGTTGACAGCATGCAAAAACACCTCAACTATCTTGAATGAAAAATTAAAATTTGCAACCCTTCCTTTCATAACAGATATTCCCCAAGCAGTTGTTTTCTTGGTGTTTTTAGAAATTTCATCTTCAGTAAGAGAATCAATGTTTGCATCTGACAAATCATCAAACTTTGAGTCAGCCGAATCCATGGTGTAATGACAGTGGTGCATGGAATTTACACCATGGATATTACACCACAATAATAACATCAACGTGGTTGTTTCATCAAAACCCAGTATCATGTGGTACAAATCAGTGAATCAGAAAATCGGAATTTGTACAGTGTATGAAAGTTGAATAATAATGATGTATTATTTCTTTAAGCCTCTCAACTGACTGCTTTAAAATAGAAGAAGTATATTTTAATTAGTTCAGAAAACTAAATTGTTTAGTACTATGTTTTGGAGCCCACGCATTTTCAATTTCCGACTCATTTCTTTTTGAACTGGGACTCACATTGGTTCCTGGACTTGGACATATGGCTTTTCACAAGATGAGTCCCAGGACTGATCACCATAATTATTTGTAACAAAATCACTGCATTTAAAATCGTGAATTGTATTCAACTCTGCATAGTCAATTTGGAACCAGTGAAGAAGTAAAGTTTGGTGTATAATTTCCTTAACTATTGTACAAGCGAAAACCAAGGATAAAAATAAGCCACAACATAAATGGTGCATGTTAAGATAACAATGACCCTTTTTATTTTTGGCAGCAGTGCTTTACAGAATGCCAAACAACAGTTTATGACTCTTAGTTATTAGGGTCGGTTGGTAAACTGAGTGAATCAAGTCCCAGTGTGCTCTTGTATACTGGTCCACAATGGAACTTGATTCCTTACTCTGTAATTACTTTAACATCAGAGACATTTGGCTTTTAGTGGCCATTTGGCATTTAGACTGCGAGCAGTCTCTTATTTTTCTTTGCATTACTGCACAGTAAACCTAATCGCGCGAGCAGCGAAGCCGCTTGCCACGAGAAACAAGGGCGTAAGCCTGATAAAAAAAACATCGTGGTTTGCAATCGCGCTGGATGAGATCAAGAACTAGACGGATTTTAAGAGAAAAGGTGCACTGCAAGCAGTCTATTTGGCATTCTGCAAAACACATATGCCACAGTCCTTTAACTGAAAACACACTGCATGTACGTGTACTAGCACATCTACAGTCATTTTTTTCTTTGTTGTTATGTATTTCAGCCACTAAAACATAATGAAACAGGACTTCTGAATTTCTTGGAATGTGTCATGGGCACTGATGCCCCCCTGTGCTATGTATGGCTGGGTACCCTGCAGAAAATGGCAAATGCTGCAAAATGTATGTACAGGAGAAAATAATAATACAGTAATTATTTCTAAGGTTTTGTCTGAAGAAGAATGTTTGGTCGCCCTTAACCCGATGTTTTTCTTCAAGTGACAAGAAGTTAGTGTCAATGTTGGGTTATGGGAGGGGTAGGTTGGCAGTTTCCTAGAATTGTGGGATCAGTGGAAGATTCAAAGAAATTTCCAACCTACCCCTCCGCTAACCCAACATTTTGCCCTTAGTGAGAAGTTAGTATTAATGTTAGCTTAGGGGAGGGGTAGGTTGACAGTTTCCCAGAATCATGGGACCCGTAAAAGATTCTAAGAATCTGCCCACCCACCCCTCTCCTTACCCAACATTTTGTCCTTAGTGAGAGGTTGGTATTAATGTTGGGTTAGGGGAGGGGTAGGTTGACAGTTTCCCAGAATCATGGGACCAGTAAAAAATTCTAAGAATCTGCCCACCCACCCCTCTCCTTACCCAACATTTTGCCCTTAGTGAGAAGTTAGTATTAATGTTGGGTTAGGGGAGGGGTGGGTTGGCATTTTCCCAGAATCATGGGACCAGGAAGAGATTCTAAGAATCTGCTCACCCACTCCTCTCCTTACCCAACATTTTGCCCTTAGTGAGAAGTTAGTATTAGTGTTGGGTTAGGGGAGGGGTAGGCTGACAGTTTCCCAGAATCATGGGATCAGTGTAAGATTCAAAGAATCTGCCCACCCACCCCTCTCCTTACCCAACATTTTTTCCTTAGTGAGAAGTTAGTATTAATGTTGGGTTAGGGGAGGGGTGGGTTGGCATTTTCCCAGAATCATGGGACCAGGAAGAGATTCTAAGAATCTGCCCACCCACTCCTCTCCTTACCCAACATTTTGCCCTTAGTGAGAAGTTAGTATTAGTGTTGGGTTAGGGGAGGGG